CACATATGCTTACACCTCCAATACATACATTGGTTCACATATCAACTTCATCTTTATATAGTTGCCCACCCCCAAACTTATTTCTTTTTTCTCCCAATCAATTTATTCTCAAAATAATGTTTAGATTCCTTTTTTTATACATATAATTATTTTCATTAGAATTTCGATTTTGACATTTGCGGAACATTGCAATGTTTGGTACCGTTTTGATTTTGTTTCATCTGTTTTCCCAAAAAATAAATTCATGTTTGTTAAGTCGTTAATTCCAATAATTTTATAGGTTTATATTCGAAAAATATTGAAACTTTCCGAAAACAATTTCAAAAATTAAAAGACCTAAATTCTAATAATTTTGTTTATACTTTCTATTCCAATTCAAAACGAACTGAAATCGAAACGTGAAAAGTTTGTAATTTTAAACTTTTCAAATCAAAATTGATAAAAGTTGAAACTGTCCTCCCCACTTTCACCCCTAACTCAGAATTAAAGGTTGAATTGGAACGGAATTTTCAATTTCCGCCTATGTTTTTTGCTATTATAAAACAATATTTTTTTTTATTCTGATTACCGATTGTTTTTGGATTGGAATGGGAATAAATTTGAGATTCGATAATCGAGCCGATTTCAAATTTTAAAAATTCCAATTTTACACGAAAATTAATACTTATAATATCAATATAATTTGTATTTTGTATCTTAGGAGGCTAAAAAATGGGAATTTTCCGAATCCCGCCGATTCCTCTACGAAATTTTCTGTTTTGGTGCAAGTTTTTTCATTTGATTTCCCATTTTTCCATTTTTTTCTCGGAATTGGATTGATCATAATAGTTATTAACTTCGCAAAACAAAAAAGAATTGAAATATTTCCGAAAGTGCTAATTTAGGTAAGATCCGTTCGATTATTTTTTACTATTCTCGTTTAATTCGATTAAGGTGGTGTTTGCAAATGTTTTTAGAAATAGATTATGCGTTTTTTTGTTGCAAATAATCTGTTTTTATGTGTTTGCGAAACAAACTTTTGCTTTTGCTTCTCTTAAAATAAGGTGTTTTAAGCTATAATTTTAAAAGCACCTATGTATCTGCTTTTTCTATTTTAGTTGATTTTCTAGTTAATTTGCAAACACCCTCAACTTTTAGTAATAATCACTTAATTCCAACTTAACTCAAAATCACTAACTTCTACTTTTAAATAAACTTTTATAAACACCATCTAAGAGAAGTAAAATCAAAAGTTGATTTAACAAACACAAAAATAGATATTGAGAAAAAAAAAAAGGAAAATTCATAATCTATTTTTCAAAGCTTTTGTAAACACCACCTAAATAAAAGTTGTAAGAGCTTATTATATATATGTGTGTGTGAAGAGAAGTACTAATTCGAACAACAAAAATGGAAGGAAGAAATCTTCTCCGCTACACTTTTCTTCTCTTCTTCACACTCTTACTCTTACTCTTCACTCTCTCCAACCTCCCATCTCTGCCTTCCAACAAGGCGGCGCTGCTAGACTGCGCCGCCTACTCCCCCTGGTGCACCTCCAAGAACCGTATCCAGTCAAAAAAACCCGACTCTCTCCACAACCCCACGCGCCGCCGCCGCCACTCCGCCGACGTGCCCCGCCACCCACTCGACCCCCTCACCGTAACAGAGCTGAACAAGGTCCAATCGATCATCAAGAAGTATGATTTGTTCAAGAACACGGCCTACGCGCTCCACTCCGTAGTTCTGGAAGAGCCGGAGAAGAAGGTGGTGCTCGGCTGGAAGAAGGGCGACGCGCTGCCGCCGAGGAAGGCCGCCGTCGTGGCGCGTGCGGGCGGGGCGTCGCACGTGCTGACCGTCGACTTGGGCTCCGGTGAGGTGACGCGCCACGAGGAGAGTCGGACCTCGGGTTACCCGACCATGACGCTGGAGGAGATGACATCTGTCACGTGGGCCCCGCTTGCGAGCGCTGATTTCAATCGGACGGTGGTGGACCGCGGCGTTGATCTGGCGGACCTTGCTTGCTTGCCCATTTCAACCGGATGGTTCGGTAAGATACTCTCTTTTGGTCAAATTTACGGTCAACTTAAAATTAGCAATTATTCATTATTTTTACGGTAATTACGGCCACACCCTTGAGGTAAGCCAAATTACGAAAACCCCCTCTCATGTTTGGGTAATTACAATCACTCCCTTTAACTATGAATTGCTGTGTCAAATTTAGTGGAATCTTTTAGATTATATGGAATATTCTCCAATATCTACCCGTTTTACCTCAAATCACTCCCTTTAACTATTAATTGCAGTGTCAAATTTAGTGGAATCTTTTAGATTATATGGAATATTCTCCAATATGTACTTGTTTTACCTCATTCGACCTCCACATTTTGAAATAAGATGATCATAAGCTGTGTCTTCTAACCTGTAAATATCAATTATGGCGCATCAGAAACTGTATTTTTGCATAAAACGAGTACAAATTAGAGAACATTTCGCGGAATCTAGAAGATTATATATATTTTGAATTTGACACCATCAGGGTGGACGTATAAAAAAAAATCACAGTGAGGGAGGTGGTCGTAATTACCCAAACATAAAGGTCTTTTTCGTAATTTGACTTTATTTCTTCAGGGGTGTATGTTATTTACCCTTATTTTTAATCTCATCGGTTAATCTATTTTTACCAGGCAAGAGTGAGGAGAAGAGAAGGTTGATCAAAGTGCAATGCTACTCCACGAAAGACACCGCGAACTTCTACATGAGGCCGATCGAAGGGCTGACAGTGCTCGTCGATTTGGACACGAAACAAGTGGTGGAGATCACCGATCAAGGCAAGAACATACCGATACCGAACGCTGCCAACACGGACTACCGCTTCTCCGCCCAAAACTCCTACCAAAGGCTAATCAACCCCATCTCAATCGAGCAACCAAAGGGACCAAGTTTCACAATAGAGGACGACCATTTGGTCAAGTGGGCGAATTGGGAATTTCACCTCAAACCCGACCCGCGGGCAGGGGTGGTCGTCTCCCAGGTCAGGGCCGTGGATCCGGGTACGGGCGAGATGAGGGATGTGATGTATAAAGGGCTGACTTCCGAGCTGTTTGTGCCGTATATGGACCCTACGGATGCATGGTATTTTAAGACGTACATGGATGCGGGCGAATACGGGTTCGGGCTGCAGGCTATGCCGCTTGACCCGCTTAACGATTGCCCGAGGAATGCCTATTATATGGACGGAGTTTTTGCGGCCGGTGATGGAACACCGTACGTTAGATCCGACATGGTTTGTGTTTTCGAGAGTTACGGTGGTGATATTGGGTGGCGGCACTCCGAGAGTCCGATCACCGGAATGGAGGTACAATATTTATTTATTTATTGATTCTCGTATAATATGCGACGGATAAAGTAGTTTCAGAAACATCTCACTTATCTTTTATTATTTATTAAAGGGTTTATACTATGCCACACCGGGTGAAAAACACTGCGTAAATCTTTACCTTCTTGAACGGTAAAAGTTCACCCAGTGTAATATAGAAATAACTTTATTGAAGTTAGCTTAAAAAATCGGCTTTATTAGGATATTTAAGCTATTTTACGAAAATAAGTGAAATTAAAAAATATTTATTTACAAAAACGACAACGTTTTAGTTGTTGTTTCATGAGTTGGATTGTATTGATGAATGGCAGATTCGAGAGGTTCGGCCGAAAGTGACACTTGTGGTGAGGATGGCAGCATCTGTAGCCAACTATGATTACATTGTTGATTGGGAGTTCCAAACTGATGGCCTTATCAGAATCAAGGTAATTATTAATTCACTATGCCTTCCTATTTATTTTATTATTATTTTTAATTTTAATTTTATTTTTTCTCTAGTTGGTTTTCTCTATCAATCATTTTCTACAGGCTGGAAAGTATATATATATATATATATATATATATATATATATATATATATATATATATATATATATATATATATATGTGTCATTTTCATGCATTTTATTTATTTTTGGTCTTTCAATAACATGCCAAAAAAGATTCTACTTTGCCAATGGGAGTGGTCCCTTGTGAATATACTTTTAACTAAGGGGTGCCAATGTGGATCTTGGATCCTTGGATTTGGTCCGATCCACGTGGATCGGATTCATGTTGGATCCAACTAAAATTTACTCAATTGATTGAAATCTATTACGTAAACCATACGAGGTTAATCATGTGTGACTATTCGAACCTGGTCAATTTACAGAGGCTCTCTTGCTCCAACTGCTAAAGCCCACTCTTTTATTTCAAATTCACACTAATAACTTAAAAGATTAGTTCAAATTAAGACATAGTAATTTAAAATTGAAAATAAAATATTTTTACAAATTTGAAATCCATGTCTTCAAATTCTTGTACCAAAATGCTATAGATTAGTCCACTAACTCCTCTTTTTATCAAGTGGGATTTTTTTTTAATTTGTATGGTGGAAAATGATTTAAAATATAAGTTTTAGTCATTTTCCTAGTAAAGGAAACTCCACCAATTTCATATGACAAATGCTGATATATTATTCTTGGTGTATATATATAGTTAAACCTTTATAAATTAATACGGTCGGGATTAGGGAAATTTTATTAATTTAGCGAATTATTAAATTATCGAGTTAATAATTTAACACGTTTTCACCGAGTCGGGACCGAGAAAAACTATTATTTAATCGAAATTATTAATTTATCGAGTATTAATTGATCGAGGTTCTACTGTATATATATGAATTAATTTTAATTAATAATTACCAGGTTGGCCTAAGTGGAATATTGATGGTGAAAGGCACTCCCTACTCCAACATGGACCAAATCAACACTCAAGAAACCCTATACGGAACCCTTTTGTCCGAAAACGTGATCGGCGTGATCCACGACCACTACATCACGTTCTACCTCGACATGGAAATCGACGGCTCCGATAACTCCTTCGTCAAAGTGAATCTCGAGAGGGAATATACCTCGCCCGGGGAATCTCCTCGAATGAGCTACTTGAAAGCCGTGAGAGAAGTGGCCAAGACCGAAAAAGATGCGCAAATTAAGCTCAAGCTCTACGATCCGTCGGAATTCCACGTCATCAATCCCGCCAAGAAGACCAGGGTCGGAAACCCCGTCGGTTACAAGGTGGTCCCCGGCGGCACCGCCGCTAGTTTAATTGACGTGAATGACCCACCGCAGAAACGGGGCGCTTTTACGAATAATCAAATTTGGGTCACTCCTTATAATGACACGGAGCAATGGGCCGGTGGATTGTTCGTTTATCAGAGTCACGGTGAAGATACATTGCAAGAGTGGTCTAACAGGTAAGAAATTTTCCACTTTGGGATTCTCCTATTTTTGTTTTATGTTTAATTCCTTATGTTTTAAGGTACCTGCGAGCAGTAGCGAAACCAGGATTTTATTTTTATATTTTTTTAAGTTATTCATAGAAAAATAGTAGAAAATAAGTAAAAATTTATAGACACTAATTAAATATCTCCGTTTCTATAGAAAATGATGCATTATGATCACCGTTTCTCTTTGTTCTTACGGCTCGGATAAAATTGCGTGGTTTTTTAGGGATAGAGAGATCGAGAACAAGGATATCGTTGTGTGGTACACGTTGGGATTCCATCACATTCCATGTCAAGAGGACTTCCCGATTATGCCGACTGTGTCATCGAGCTTCGATCTTAAGCCGGTGAATTTCTTCGAGAGGAATCCCATTCTTAAGATTCCTCCGAATTTCGAGAACGATCTTCCGATTTGCAAAGCTGATTCTGCTGCAGCTTGAAAAATATATATATCTTGCTACTAGTTATGTATTTTCTTCTTCTTCTTCATTTGTGCATATATTGCAGATGTTAATGAACTCAAACTCACATTATTGTATATATGTATTATTCCATCTGGATTTAGAAATAAAAGAACTCCCAAGTTGACTACTATAGGAAAAAACTCAAATATATTCAATTAGATCTTGACAAAGCCAGAAATTGGTTGCATAGTATAAGCAATAATATTTTTCGTTTATTTCTTAAATTTAAGATCTTAATTTTCTGTCTCAGAAAATATATATATTCTTGAAATACTTTATGTAACAAGTCTTTGGTACACCCATTAATTTATTGATGACTAATTATTTAAAATTAGAGTTATATAAATTCATTTTTGTTGTAAAAGCTACTTCTTTTTTAATTCAAACTAGTACTTCACCCGATACACGGGGACTAAATAGGAACGAAAAGGCATTCAAAAATATAAACTTTATCTTTACGTAACCGCGTTATGAATCTATATGATACCATTTAAAATAGATTATTCAACTATTTCATAGAATGCAATATATACCATCTGAATCTTATCCAAAGTAGCTGACTTATGGCAATGGCGCAATAATAGAGAAGTCAAGCAATAGAGATTCAATGAACCTGCAAGATTATCATTTCCCAATGGAATAAAATATATTTGAACACAACTGTCGTAATATTTGTGATGTGAGGGCATATTGATATAAAAGGGAAAATTTGCATTCCCATTAAGGTGCATCGCTATATTTCTTTATGCACATATATAGAATAAGAATACATAAGTTATCGACAAATAAATAAATATCTTTAAACACCAAACATATGTAAAATAATATTGAAATATACTTAGTAGATAATGTGGTTGAGCCTCAATGCCTCATGATAGAGAAGGTGGTCGAGCCTCATGGCAGAGCTTAATATGTACAGTTTGAATTTGAAACAATAATAATTAGACTCGCCCATATATTGCGCCTGCAAGAAAACAATACACTGGACATTGATATAAAAGACTAGCTTTTTTCCTACAACAAACTTACAATTGTATTAGATGCTTTGAACCACATTGTTTTAATAAGCAAATTTTAGTATAAACTATAAAGTACAAACCTCTGTCATCATAGCGTTAAGTCAGGATTTTGAACAATAACCACATCAACATCCATAATTGCTTGTGCAAACATCATATTAGCCTCAAATACAGATCGGAAATTATCTCAGGTATATGTCACAACATTGTTATTACTCGTAAAGATAAAAAAAAAAGAATAGAATACAATTTGTGTAGAAAAATGAAAACTAAACCTAATTAGAACATCTTGACAAACTGCACACATATTTGCGACACACCAAAACACAAATGGCCATTTTTTCAATAAAAACAAACATCTGGTCAAAATCCAATACTCCTTGAACCACTACACGATTAATATAGGTTCAACAAAAATAATTCTATTAATACTCCTTGAACCACTACACAATTAATAAAGGTTCAACAAAAATAATTCTATTACTCCATATAAATTCGCTCAGAGTACACAAAGACCAAAATATTTATCATGTAAAATTGCGTGAAATCAAAAAACTACATCTAAACATAAAATGGAGTAATTGAAAAAATAAAAAAAAGGGGGAAAAACGTGAAGATTATATAATACCTTTGCATAAAATAAAAAAAACTTTGTTTTTGCAAAATACATTGGACATTTAAAATTAATGGAACACATGTATGTTGCAAAAGATGTAGAAAAATGGAACTCTGTTTTCTCAAAACTACAGTTTCAAACATTACTGTGCCCAGACGAATTCAATAGTTAAAGGATTTATGGGTGGCGCTTCAATTATCGGCGAATCAATATTTTTTTATAGATTTATGGGTGCGATTCTTTCAAGCGAACGAAATACTAAATTATAATTCGGGTTGGTATACATATGTGATTTGCAATTTGAATTTGAGAAGTTATAAGAAGAAGTTTAGAGAAACTGATGAAAAGAATTAACGGGAAAAAAATTGTGAAAGATTACAGATGCAGTTGGAACAAAGTTATACGAACGTGTTTTATTTTTTGCAAAATAGTCCTATGACTATAAAAAAATTATAAAAATTGCCCTGTAATTTTGAAACCCTAAAGCACCACGTGTCAACATATTATAACATGATTGTATTAGATTATGTGTTACAATATGACAAAACAATTATCACAATAAACGATCGTATCCACTAAACTTTGGTCATAGATACCAAGTATCCATCATTGAACTGTGTTAACTATTGCACACAGTAAATTGAAGTTAATACTTAAATCATCTAAGAACAACTATTTTGCTTTATTAAATATTATAATAATATATACACATCAAACAACTGTTCCCACACACAAAACAAATCGCACTAACGCGCATAGCAGCACATTGTTGCTACAAACTAATAGACACACATATCACCTTGCTGCTTCACAATTATGAAACCATTAAGTATAAAAATTTAAATTAGTCTACATATATATAATCTGAAAATACATACCTTAAGTTTGGAAGAGCGATGTCCAGTATTGGTCTTGCTAGGAACTCTCCAACGACGCATGACCCAAACTACCAATTTCCAGTTTATTCGCTACGGCGATATATGAATTAGACTTACTCCTGGCCATTTACGCGTGAAGTCTGTAAAACGAAAATCAGTGTAATATTTTATTATAAATAAAATATATATATACGTCATTACCTAGGGTTGAACACGTTTAGGAATATACAAAACACTGATGAAGATGTAAAATTAAATTAGAGAAATTATAGAGATTTACATGAACAACACGATTAGGAATTAGTAACAGAAGAACCGAAGAAAAAGGAGAGAAGAAGTAATATTAGTGGAAGACGAAGTTGAGAAATAAATAACCGTGGAAGAAGTTGAGGCGAGAAGATGCCAATAGCAGTTATACGCACGTGCAGATTGAAAACGTTGTCTGAGTTGGTTGTGTTTTTAATCTTAAAATAGTCCTAAGGTTATTAAATAATTAAAAAAAATGCCCTTAGAATTTTGACCCCCTAAAAAGTACCACGTGTCGCAATATTATGACATGAATTGTCTTTATATATATATATATATATATATATATATATATATATATATATATATATATATATACTGTTCACTTTTCGTTAACTTCATCTATGCTTACTCTACTTTAACCGTATGTTGTATGGGCCGGTTCAAGTTCCTGAAAAAGTGAATCGTGAACCGGTCCATGGCCGTGTCTAGGTGATATTGATATTAGTGATTATTTTGTTAATTACCGTACGACGGGTCTTCAAGCAAGTAGTTGTGAGATTGTTTCTTCAAGCAAGTAGTTGTGAGATTGTTTCTGATAACTTGACATCAAACATGAGAGCGAGAGTTTCTGGTCAGGCTGGTCAGGGAGGTATATTCTTTATATTTTTTCTTCCATTGGTTCTGTTGTTTCGTTTGTTTTTATTTATCTTATTTGTTATAGTTACATAATCGTTTTCTCACCCGTCGGGTGTCCCCTACTATAGAGACCCTTTTTTTCTCTCTGTCAGACCCTTCCTTACCATCACCGTCTCTGCCCTAGGTACTTTTTTAATATCCTTGTATTGTATTTCAAATGCCACCCCCATAGTATTGTATTGATTTGTGAGAAGTTGTTTGGTTGTTGAACGGTTGATGATTAGCAGATTTTTAATATCCTTGTGCCATATTTTAAATGCCACCACCCCATAGTATGTATTGTTTGGGTGTTGAGTTGTCGTTTATTTGCAGATTTTTAATATCCGTAGTATTGATTGGTTTGTATTGTTTGGGTGTTGAACTGTTGATGATTAGCAGATCATTAATATCCTTATGCCGTATTTCAAATGCCACCCTATAGTATTTATTGGTTTGTGGAAAGTTGTTTGGGTGTTGTGAACTGTTGATGATTAGTAGATTTTTGTTATGTTTTTCTTCTTTCAAATAATATTCACTGTCTGGTAAACAAATTTGAAATACTAACATGTGTATGCTTCTTTTTGAATAATGTAATTTATACTTATGTCTGTCTGGACACATGCAAATTATATCTA